AAAATACACCAATTAAACTCAAAAAATTATCTTCCCTCGTCCTCTAAAACTTTAGGGTTTCTAGTGGCGATGGGATTTCTCCTTTGGGTCCCTTTTCGATTTGTGAGCCACCTTTCCTTCCCTTCCCCACTGCTTCCCTACCCTTTCCTACTGCATATCCTTGATTCCTCTTCCTTCGATTTCCCTTTGGCTCTGTTTGCAATACTCTAAAAAAGGGGCACGACCTTAGATACCGAGGGCTGCAGATCTAGTTTTGGGTGTCGATTTAATCTCCTTGTTGCTGGTGGTTGTGGGTGTGTGTCCCGAATGGTAGATGAAGAACTTGGATCTATGCTTAATCGGGTCCATCTCACAGAAGATGAGGATGGTATCCTTCCCTTTCATTCACTTTGGAAACCCGATGAACCCAAGGTAGGAAATCTGCGATTAGTGGGGAAGATACTATCCCAAAAAAAGATCAATATGAATGGGCTTCATGATGCGTTAATGGTTGCTTGGAACTCTAGGAAGGCTTTTACAATTTCTGAAATTGGTGACAAAATTTATTTGTTTCAATTTTTTGAGATTAGAGATCTAAACAAGGCTCTTCATAGAGGACCTTGGAACTTCAGTAATTCACTACTAATTCTTAAATAGTTCCAAGCCTCTTTAACAACGGAGCAGTATAACTTTTCTACAAATCCTTTTTGGGTTCGAATCTTTGACGTTCATGTTGGTATGCAGTTAGAGCAAATTGGACTCACAATTGGGAACTCTTTGGGGAAGGTTTTGGAATTTGATGACAGTTTTCGCAAGGCAATCAGAGTTCGAATTGATTTGGATGTGAATTAGCCCTTAAGAAGATTTAAAACTTCTTAGATCTCGATTACAGAACGCAAAAAACTTTGAATCAAATACGAACGGCTTCCAGAATTTTGTTTTGTCTGTGGTTGCATAGGACACCTTGATCATAACTGTGAGATTGCCAACAGTATCAAAGACGGTGGAGGTAAAATTGTTTATCAATATGGATTGTGGTTAAAGGCTGAATTGGAACACTCATGGTGTCCAAATGATCTTGATCTATTAGATGAAACCTTTATTGTAAATACACAGTATATAGCTGAAGAAAAGATGGTAGGAAACCAGAAGCGTTATGAGACTATTGCCAATGGAGCAAGCTAGGTAGAAAGACACAATGATAAGGTTGCTGGAGATCTGGAGGCAAATGCAAGCCAAATGGCATGGCACAATGCTAATGGTGTGGGAGAAATTGTGGATGAAACAGCTCAACCCCTTACTTCTACTATAAGAGAAATGGCTTTGACAGGAAATATGGAACATACTGATGGCTTGCCAGGTTTGATGCAGGACCAATTAGTGGAGATACCTTTGGCCTTGGGTCTTGATGGTATTGAACAGTTAACAAGGAAAGGAAATGGTGCAAAAAGAGGTAGGGGCAAATGGAAACGAATAAGGCGTGAGGGAGGGTCGTTGGTGGATATGGAAAACCTTAATCCAGGAAAAATAAAGGGTAGTACAGCAAGTTTAGGGGAACAAAGGGCCACTAAGGTGCTATTAAATAATACATGAGTGGCTATGATTCCTAAGAAGGTAAAGGACACTACTATGACCTTGTAGGTGGATAATTTTCATCCATCTGCGGGTTAAATATCAATTATGAATGGGTAGAGCATTGTAGTGTTGGGAGACACTAACACTACATCGCCAAGTCCATTGATCTCTCATGTTAGGTTTGGGTGGTCCAATAGATGTGATTGCTAGCAACAACAGTAAGCTCCAGTGCATTCTTTCTATGTTTTGCATAGCTTTATTGTGACCCCTATGACATATACTAATATTTAGAGGTTTCTAGTTCTTAATTGTCACTA